TGGACACTTAATAAGGATGACAGAGGATGAATTGATGCCTTTGAGTTGTGATACTGGAGAAGAGTATTGAACCTGTCGTGGACTGCCAAGAGAACAAACTGGTCTGTCCTGGAGAGGGTGAAATCAATTTGTTCCTTGAAGGCAAGGATTTTGAAACTCTGTCTCACATACTTTGCTCATATTCCGGGACAGACCAGTCCTTGAAGAAGGACATCATACTTGAAATGGTGAGGGGTCAGTGCAGGAGAGGAAGACCCTGGATGAGATGGATTGACACCGTGACTGTGGCAATGAGGGCAGATGTGTCAGAGACAGTGCGGTTGCCTCAGTATAGGGTAGGTCAGAGCCATTGTTCGTAGGATCTCTATGAATTATAGTTGACTCAGTGGCCCATAACAACAGTTGTGTGTTCAGCAGAAAATAGAGTGCCTACATTTGTTTGACATTGTTCCAGATTCATGATGTAACAGTGACCAAAAGTCCTTCTCTATTTTACATTCTCTCTGGGGGACTATTTAATAAACAGATGTTGTGCAGTGAATTCTTGACGACCTTGGGTGAGATGGATTTACACAGTGACTGTGGCAAGGGGGACAGGTTTGTCACAGACAGGTGGCCCATGATAGGGCACGGTTCAGAGCTGTTGTTCATAGGGTCTCTGAGTTGTAGTTGATTCATTGAGCATAACACAGCCATGGCTTTGGGAGCTCTGATGGCCTGGTGGTAAGGAGTTGTGCTGTCAGCTCTTGGTTCGAATCCATCAACTCTTCCGAGGGAGAAAGGTGGGCATTCTCTTTGCATATGCTTTACAGCTGCTGATACCTCCTGGAGGATCAGCTAGGATCAGCTATGAGTTGGTTTTGGCTCAGTGGCCCATAACAACAGCAGTTCCTATGCAAATGACTGGGCAAAACTATTCAAATGAGATGTGCTAGACCACCTAGGAGATTGGACAACTTGCTCCTTTAAGCGGTGAGACGATGCAAATAAGGTTTATGAAGCCCAACTGAGGAGATGGTCGGCTATGCCATCCTGGTGGACTTTAAGCTAGCCATCACAGAGAGAGAAAGGGGCCTTGTGACCTCCGAAGAAGTCAGGAGGAGAGTTCATCCCTTGGACCAGCCATGGGGTGAGAAGGCCAAGCGCTGGGCAGAACAGGTGATGGAGTGGCGTGTCTCCAGGCCCTTATAGCAGAGCTGTGAGAGCTACAGTGTGACTGTTCCCTGAGCAACTTTGGGCTGATACTGCTGGTGAGTCTGTCTCTACCTCAGTGAGTTAGAGGGAAGGAGAGTGCCTGTGCCTATCAGACCTTGAAGCTCAGTCTCAAGTCCTGATGACTTTGAGAAATTTTTATTTCCTGGTTCCTGCCTTTGGAACTTGCAGCTCAAGTTACACAGAAAAACATTTCCCACCTTTGTAAAATCTGCTCGACTAGAAACCACCAGTGGGAAGGTGACCCAAGGAGCACCCTCCTCCTTTCTGCCCTGTGTAATCCGTTGTTTTTGTTGTTGTTATGTGCCGTCGAGTCACTAGCAACTCATAGCAACCCTATATACAAGAGTCCTAAACCCTGCTCTATCCTGTGCCAACCTCACTGTCTGCGACACACTCGCTCCCATTACCCCAGTCACTGAAGCGATCCACCTCCTAGAAGGTCTTCCTCTCCTGCTCCATCCCTCCACCCTGCCAAGCATGATGTCTCTTTCTAAGAACTGGTCCCTCCTTGTAGCATGTCCAAAGTATGTCACATGAAGCTTCAGAATCTTTGCCTCCAAGGAGTAGCCTGATTTCACCCTCTCCAGGACAAATCTGTCCTCCTAGGCGTCCATGGTGTATTCAGCACTTCTCCAGCATCACAGCTCAAAGACATCTATCATCCCTAGTCACTGTCCATCTTTCTGACACATAGCACACAATTGTGAAGACTATGGCCCAAATCAGGCACACCTTAGTCTCCAGCCTGATGTCGTTGCTTTTCAGTACTCTGGAGAGTTCCCTGACAGCTGATTTTCCAATGCAATTCATCTCTTGATTAATCCTATAAAAGGTAAAAACAAAGGCTGCTGGGCTGCTGGAGCTCTGCCAGTAGTCAAAGCCTCTTCCTCTAGTACAGCTGGTGTTCAGGTGATCTTTCTCCCATTCAGGCCTCATCCTCTTGCAAAAAGGGAAGCTCTGATGCTGACATCTCACCAACCCTCAAACAAGGAAATGTATAAGATTTTGCTGTTAGGGGCTGTCAAGTCGAGGAAGACTCTTAGCGACTCTGTGACCAACAGGCCTGAACTCAGTTCTGTTCTGTGCCCTCACCATCTCTGCCACACTTGAGTCCTTTCCTGTACTCACTGTGTCGGTCCACCTCACTGGGAGTTTTCTTCTCTTTTGTTGCCCTTTCCAACCATGATACCTTTCCAAGGGATTCTCATGACGTGGCTAAAGTATGGGACAGAGCTTCGCTGTCCCTTAGTATGCGTTATTAACCAGGATGTTGGATGCTGTTGGTAAGCACGGGGCCACTGCGTGATGCAGGATAGAGGAGGAGGCCTTCCTCCCTGTAGGACATGGAACGTAGATCTAAGAACTATCATATCTGAAGCCATTAGTGTTTCCATCTAGAAGGCCGATAATAACAGCATTCTGTCTGTCTTAGACCAGTAAGCAACATCATGCTTAATGGAGAAAAAAAATTGACGTTATCAAGACTTTCATTGACAGGGATCTGCAGTCAGAGCCTATGGAAGCAGTAGTCCAGAAATCAGAGATTTCCTTGTTCAGTCCTGCTGTCAAGGGAATCTCGAAAGTGCTAAATAAAGTGCAAGGATATCAGATTGAAGACTAAGGTGCACCTCAGCCAAGCCATGGCATTTTCAGTTGTTTCCTATGCATGTAAAAGTTGGACAGGGGATAAGAATGGTAGACGACTACTTGCTGCCTTTGAATAACGATGTTGGCAGAGTATTGAACACCGAGGACTGCCAAAAGAACAAATGATCTGCCTTGAAAATACAGCCAGGGTGCTCATGAGGGGCAAGGGTGGTGAGACAGTGCTGTGGGCCTGTGGTCGGGAGGGGCCAGTCCTTGGAACAGGACAGTGTTCTGGGAAAGTGAGGGTCAGTGAAGGAGGTGAGGAAGGGCTTCAGTGAGATGGGTCAGTACAGTGACTGTGACGTTGGCTTTAGCCGACAGAGACCGTAGTGATCGTGCAGGACCAGGCAGGGTTTCGTTCTGTTTATGAAGTTACTGTGAACTCCACCTGATTTACTAGTAACATGATGCCCCTAATAACAGCACCATCTCTCCAGGCCCATAATGTACCCACAGTGACTAAGGGTGACAGAAGAAGAATAGATAACCTTTGAGTTGTGGTGCTGGAGAAGAGTCTTGAACATCCCATGGACTGCCAAGAAAACAAATCTGTTTTGGAGAGGGTGAAACCAAGTCTCTCCTTGGAAGCTAGGATTTTGAAGCTTCCCCCCCCCCTTTGTGCATTGGCCAGGAGAGATCGGTCCACGGAGAAGGACATCATGCTCGGCAGGGTGGATGGACAGCCCAGGAGAGAGAGACCCCGGATGAGATGGATTGATACAGTGACTGGGCCGATGAGGGTTGGTGTGTTGTAGTCAGTGAGACTCAGGCTTCAGAGCTGCTGATAGGGTCGTTATGCATCGCAGACCACTTAACTGCACATAACAGTAATAACGTACTGTGACAGGTCTAAACAACATGCCTCCAGAAGTTCTGTGAACTTTGAGAAATGTCGGTAGTTGTAGAGGGACTTTAGAGGTTTTGTTTATAGGCTCGCTGTGAGTCGTGCTTGCCTTGAAGGCAATCAACAACAACAACAATGTACCCATAATTGTAGAAGTGCCCACTGAGTTAGACATTGAGCCAAAGCATTTCGTTGTTGACAGGAAGGAAAGAGTGGCTAATGCAAACCAACCTTTGAACTTAACAGTGATTTAACTCATAAAGAAAGCAGAAATGAGGAATTGGCCTCTCTTCTCAAATCCTTCTCCATCCTGGTGAGCGCCTGATCCCCCAGTCAGTTTGCAGTCATGCCGGGCACTGCCCTGCCTTCTCCCAGAACCCTGTTGGGTCTGCTCTGCAGTGTAATGTTGGGGTTACCCTGCTCTGTGGTATAGCTTTGGGGTTACCCTGCTCTGTGGTTAAAACATACTTGATGGTTATCCCTCCTGGTCAGAAAAGAGTGAACACAGAATGTTTTTTAGACAAGCTCTTATTCTTTGTTTAAAATAAAGTAATGGATTTTACTATAAACAGATAATAGAAATAATGTGAAATAAATGGAAATAATTTAAAATGTGTCAAAAGGTGATGCGAGTTTAATTAGCAGACCATTTAGTTGTTTTTATCTATTTTCATGCTGCCTAAGGACTTCTGGATTGATCCATCAAGGTAAGGAGTGGAACCAGAGCTCTTTGGAGGTGTTGTGTATAAAACCTTGTTTTTCTGTTAGTACCCTCACACGTACACTGCCAGCGCATAGTATTATTTCTGTGTGACTTGATAAGCTACACTAGAAAGGTAAAGTTCCGAATAGAAACTTTCTATATTTCTTTTAAAAAACACCTGTTGTGGGTACTCTGCTAGCGTCATTAGGAGAGTAAGTTTCAACAATTTATGTAGCAATTTGGTTAGAATTTGCAATCATAGAGCAATATTGTTTTTGTAGTTCATGATCATTTGAAAACCATTGTCTTCCTCATGGTTGAAGACATGCCCAGGCTTTCCAGAGTCGGGCTTGCACCTCTTTCCTTTTTCGAGAAATTCTCTACAAGGGAACAGCTGGACCCTCTGTCAGGTGCCCCTTCCTGGTCAGAGATGCTGCCCCTGCTGCTCTTCACACGCCCAGCCTGCACCATTGACCACTGGAGGGGGAGCTGGCCTGGGTGACACTGCTGTGCCCGTTGAGGCCCAGGAGAGTGGCTGAAACCAAGGACGCTTCTTCCATCCCCTCTCTGTCCTGCTCCCTCATGCCTCATGTGGTCCCCTTAGACCACCCTCACCCGGCCCTGCAGCCTGGGACCATTCAGGGACCAGGGATGTGTCCTTATGAGTACCCTGGCCCTGGCCCTGCACCCTGGGCTCCGACAGGGACAGGTCCTGAGCCTGATGTCCCCAAGATACTCAGGCTGACCATTGGGCACTTAAAGACAGGAACCCCTCTTTCCCCTCAGGTCCTGGACGCCTCTTCCCTCAGCTTCTCCACCAGGCTGAGGTGGTTTGCCATCTGCTTCGTGTGTGGCATTTTCTGCTCCATCCTGGTAAGTTCACTCCGCGTGTGTGGACACTAGACCATGGCTAACTCCTCCCTTAACAGCAAGCAGCCTCCTTCCGCTGAGGGATAAAACCATCACGGTTTTATCACCTGAAATAAAAGGGTTATTGTTGTTATGTACTGTCATGCTGGACCCGACTCATAACTGACCCTCCAGCAAGGTTTCAGAGGATGTGAGTTGCCCAGGAAGAGAGTCTCCTGTGGGGTTTGGTTCAAACCCCGTGCCTTCAGAAATAAAGGTGTAGAGATCAGGAAAGACGTCGAAATGTGTGTTTTAGGGATTCTGCCCATTTGAAGAAAGTTTTCTTTCTGAAAACATTGACAGCTGGGAATAAAATGGGTAAGTGACTTAGAGAGGTTTCTAGGTGTTTCTCTGCCACAAGGTTCAAATCCACCAGCTGCTCCCTGGAAGAAGGGGTGATGGTCTAGCTGCTAGAGTTTACCACCATGCAGACCCTGAGGGTTTGAACCCCAACCCTTCAGTGAGCAGGCAGGCGGGCGGCCACTGTGCCCTCGGGGATCCTTGGGCCACCTTGAGGGGCAGTTCTGGGCCTGTGTGGTCCCCCTGAATGAATAAACTTGCCCAGGGGCGCTGTAGACAAAGTCCCTGCACTGCTTCAGTGCAGCCTGGGACAGCCTGCTCGTGCCTTAATGGGGGAGTTGCCAGGAGGTGCACTGCATTCAGACGCCGCCAGAGGACTTGGCTTGGGCCGGTTTCTAAAACTGCTGTTTAAAAAGAATATTACATAAAATATTTTATAAAATATTTACATAAAGTGAGATTACTCACAAGTCAAGGAGATGTTGTTACAGCTGGTTTGTGTCGTGTGTGTGTGTGTGTGTGTGTGTGTGTGGCCAATAAATTAAATGGTCAGATTATACTAGCAAATTATAGTGTAGCTTGTTACTATGTAGCGTTTACATCTTCTTAGTGGTATTATGGTAGCAAATTTATCTTTTAAGCCATTAACGTGCTGGGATTATTTTAAATAAGTATAATCTCCTTATTTAGGGAACCGGCTTGCTGTGGCTTCCCCAGGGCATGAAGCTGTTCGCGGTGTTTTATACCCTTGGAAACATTTCTGCGTTAGCCAGGTATGGATTTAAGTTTGGTGCCGCAGAATAATATGTTTGTTGCTCTTAGCACAGTTTGCCTCTTTAACAAGCATTTTCCTCGTAAGAGGTATTTCTGTCCCTCTGCACATAACATTAGGGAGCTCATTAGGGTGGTGTTGTCATTGTTATGTGACATCGAGTCACCTGCGACTCACAGTGACCCTGTGTGTACACTAGCTCTGAAACCTACCCTATCCTGAGCCAATCTAATCGTCTCCCACAGACCTAATCCCATTACCCCAATCACTGAGTTAACGCATCTCATCGAGGGTCATGTTTTCTTTTTTGTTGTTGTTGTTTTTGGGTGTGTTTTTTTTATTTTTAATTTTTTTTATTAATTTTAATGAAAATTTACAGAGATTTAGGGTTTCCAGTCATTCATTGTTGCACTTTTCTCCCTGCCCACTCCCCCCCATTTGCTCTTTTCTTTGAAAAGTAAAAGAAAAATTCTTTCATTGTTATACAATCCCTCCCCCCACGTCCACTCCACTGTGCAGCCTTCATTCTGGACTTCTCTCATGACAATAATACCTAATCATATATCCCTTTTAAACAGTTCTCTCCCTCATCTGTTTCAATGCAGTATACATAATTTATCCAATCTTTCACAGTCTTCTCTCATCCCCAATGTCAGTCCTGTTTTACAACAGTGGCACTATGCAATATTTGTCCTTTTGTGCCTGGGATATTTCACTTAGCATAATGTACTCCAGGGTCACCCATTTTCTATAATATTTCAAGAGTTCCTTGTTTTTGTTTTTGGTTTTTTTGTTTGTGTTTTTTTTTTTTTTATGTGTGTACCCTCAAATTGGATCTGACTGGTACAGGAGGCGATTGTTCCTCCTTCTTCAGCAGAGCATCTGGCGTATTTGAACCACGCACCTCTGGGATTGCAGTGCAGTTTCCTACCACTAGGCCACCAGAGCTCACCGAGTTCCTTGGTTTTTAATGCAGAATAGTATTTCATTGTGTGACTATACCAGAGTTTCTGTATCCATTCGTTTGTTGATGGGCACTTGGGTTGTTTCCAACTCTTTGCTATTGTGAGCAAAGCCACAATAAACATGGGTGTTTATATATCTGCTTGGATGGCGGTTATGGTTTATTTAGGGTATATTCGCAGTAGTGGAATTGTTGGGTCAAATGGTATTTCTGTTTGCAACTTTTTGAGAAAGTGCCATACAGCCTTCCATAGTGGTTGCACCATTTTACACTCCCACCAACAGTGAATAAGGGTTCCAGTTTCTCCACAACCTCACTAGCATCTGTTGTTTGCTGATCTGTTAAATTTTACTATTCTTACTGGGGTGAGATGATATCTCATAGTTGTATTGATTTGCAACTCTTTTAGAGCTAGGGATTTTGAACATTTCTTCATGTGCTTGTTCGCCATCTGAATGTCTTCTTTGAAGAAGTATGTGTTCATATCCTGTGCCCATTTTTCAATTGGGTTATTTACCTTTATCTTGTTGATGTACTCAAATATTTTACAAATTCTAGATGTAAGTCCTTTATCTGACATGTCATTACCAAATATTTTTTCTCCATCTGTGGTTTCCCTTTTTACCCTGTTGGAGAAGTTTTTGGATGTGCAGAGGCATTTGATTCTTAGAAGGTCTCATTCATCTATTTTATTCTTTCCTGGTTGTAGATTTTTCAGGATGCTTGGAAGACTGTTTATGTTGTGTATTAGGACTTCTAGAATTCTCCCAGGCTTTTCTTTAATGACGTTTATAGTCCTTGGTTTTAGTTCTAGGTCCATGATCCACTTTGAGTTGCTTTTTGTGTACGGAGTGAGGTGTGGATCTTGCTTGAGTTTTCTGCAGATAGTTTTCCAATTGTGCCAGCACCTAGGGTCTTCTTTTTCCTGTGCTGTCCCTCCATGCCTTTCAAGCATGATGTCCCTCTCCAAGGATTGGACCCTCCTGGCCATGTGCCCCAAGCATATTAGATGGAGCCTCAAAATTCTATCCTCCAGGGAGCAGCCTGCTTCACCCTCCCCAAGACAGACCTGTTTGTGCTCTTGGAAGTCCGCGGTATATTCAACATTCTTCTCCAGCACCATGTCTCAAAGGCATCAGTCCTTCTTTTATCATCCTTAATTATGGTCCAGCCCTCTCATGTGTAGCAAGTAATTGTGAAGACCATGACCTGGAGCAGGTGCACCTTAGTCTCCATTTTGATATTATTGCTCCTCAGTACTCTAGAGAGGTCCCTGACAGCAGACTTTCCCAATGCAGTTCATCTTTGGATTTCCTGGCTGCTGGTGCCAAGGTGTTGATTGTGGAATTAAGCAAACTGAAGTTATCAGCAATCTCAGTCTCTTCTCCATCCATCACGATGCTGCCGGTTGCCCCAGTGGTGAGAACTTTGTTTTCTTGATGTTGAACTTCAGTCCATATTGAAGGCTGCAGTCCTTGACCTTCTGCAGCAAATGCCTCATCTCCTGAGATGGTCTCATCAAGTGCAGGTCCTCGATGAACCTTCCTCCAGTCCTGATTGTGCTGCCAGCACTGAGGAGTGTGGTTTGACTCCCACCAGCTGCTCTGGGGGGGACGGCTAGGCCATTACTTCCTGTGGGATTTACTGCCTCTGAAACCACTGGAGGGTCAGCTGTGAGGCATTTCTGACTCGACTGTAGTTGGTAACATACATAATCTCAGAGGAACTCTGATAAGCGCAGTGGCCAAGATCCTGGCTCGTAACGACAAGGTTGGCAGTTTGAACCTCCCAGTGGCAGGAGTGACGTGTGCTTGTACCGAGTGCAGTGCTGGCTGTCGTCCTCTGCTCTCAGGGCTGAGGTTGACTCCGTGGCAGCGGGCTGGTGGTGGTGGTTAGGGCCCTTGAGCTGGCCACGACTCATGGACTCTGGGGATGACAGGTTGGAACCGAGTTTATGTATCGTAGGAAACTTAATAAATGAGACTGTTCTTCTTGTTGTTGTTATGTGCCGTCGCGTCGTTTGCGACTCATAGCGACCCTATGCACAACAGCCCTAAACACTTTTGTTAAGTTAAACAATACCCCGTTTGTTTTTTATTTTTAAGCTGTGCATGTAACATAGGCAGATTGGTGGTCCCAGGCCTCATGTCTCCTGCTTGTTTCAAACAGTACCTGCTTTCTGATGGGGCCCGTGAAGCAGCTGAAGAAGATGTTTGAGACGACAAGATTGCTGGCGACCATCCTCATGCTGGTGAGTCAGGCCTTGCTTTCCCTGGTACTTGGGCTGAGCTGCTCTGCAGTCTTGTTTGCAAATGATGGCCTGCTCTCCATGCCTGTGCTGCTGGTATGTCTCACTGGGCACGCGGGCAGCTCCGTTCCCAGGCCCTGGGCAAAGCCGTGGGATTGTTCCACTCCGGCCAGCACTGTCGGCTCGGTGAAATTTGCCTTCTGCTGCAGAGCGCTGACTGACCCCAGGACCGCAAGTAGGAATGGACACTGCGTGGGTTTGCATTCTTACGTCCTGTGTGTGGTTTCTGAATAGGCCCTTAGTTCTACTCTTTAAAAAACAGGGCCCGAAAAGAGGTCTGTCCAGACCCGAGTCCAGGAGGCCTGGCGTGAACTTCACAGTCAGTCTCCTGCCCTTCCTGTTTGCTGGCTGGGCAGGGGCCTCTGTTGGGATGGCCTCGGGGTACCTCCATGTGCCCTCCAGCCCAGGTTCAGTTAGGGTGCATGTGAACGCCCCTGCTTGTGCTAAGAAAAGGGGTCTTTGGCTGAGTGTGGGTATGGACAGAGGACCCAGTCCTCACTCCATCTCTTGGTTATATGCGTCTTAAAGCACTGTGCTCAATTTAAAGTTGTGTGTGTTCTTGTTTTCAACTGCTGATGCTTGGTTTTCAAACAGAACTGAGGACAGAACACTTTCTATAAGGACAAAAATGTTTTTGCTGGAACGTGTTTGGTTTCCTGTCTAGAGAAAAGACTTTTCTTTTTCGTTTATTTTATTATGTTTCTGTTGTTCAGCCTCATTACACCTTTCCAGGGGATTGTCTGATCACCATCAGGTGCTGTGTCCTGGCTGGCCCACCAGCGAGCTTTCAGAGGCACTAACAGGAGTGGCATCCACTTCCAAACAGCCTCTGGAAACTCTGTGAACGTTGAGAAACGACAATAGCTGTAGAAAGGCTTCAGTTCTTTTACTCATATGGTGCTGTGAGTCGTGCTCGACTCAAGGGCAGTCAACAACAACCACAACAAATCACACGAGAGGACCTTGTCCGTCTTTCTCCTGAGAAGCAGCTGGCGGGTTAGCATCTTTTGCCTCCAGCGGATTCGAACCACTTAGCTCCGGGTTAATAGTAAGCTCCCTGCACCAGTGCTCCCGATGTTAGCAGCATGCATAATGTCATTTAACTTTCTGTTGAAAAATTGTCCCATAATATTAGTCTGCTACCTGTTTCTGTTAAGATTTTACTTGAGTTGTTGAATTGAAGATGTGCTCACACCTGACTCTGAACTTAGCCAGTCTCAGCTTTCTGTTACATAATGACGCAGAACTGAGAGAGCGCTACACATGTCAACTGGTCCCGGAGCATCGGGCAGGCGGGCTTCTGCCGCTATGGCCTGGGTAATGCTGGCCATGCTGCTCCAGGGCTCTGTTGCTTCCCCTCAACCCCACTGCTCAGATGGGCTCTGCTGGAATGACCACAGCCTGAGGGTCGTCCTGCTCCGTCTTCCTCCCATGACTGTCAGCAGCACAGGACACCGAGGCAGTGGGGACAGGCCCTCCAGACTCGGTTGGTCATGTTGTCCTTTAGAAACACACTGAGGACCAGACCGGTGGGAGAGGTCACTGGATCTCAGGCACTGGGCCTTGAGCTTCCGTTGAGGGCTTTCCTGTTCCCCTGTGCTGCCCGTCATATCTGCTGCTGGTGACCCCAGAAAGGGCCAGTGGTCAGGAGGGCTGTCACAGGTGTGGAGTGGTGTTTGCTCCCCAGGAGATGTGGTGAGGCCGGGCTCAGTGACGAAGTGCTTACGCTGTGTCGGTGGTCATGACCGAGTGTGACGCATCCGCCTGAGCACAGCCCAGCCACTGAAGCACCGGGTGTGCTGTCTCCTGGACACTGTCCGGTGTGTACTGGGCACAGCCCGGCCACTGAAGCACCAGGCATCCTGTCTCCTGGACGGGGTCAGGATTCCCGATGTCAGCCATGCTCCTGCCATAGACGACAGTGAGGTCAAGCTCATCCCTGTCCTTGTCTGTGTTACGCAGCCTCATACGTGGATGGACGTGGCAGGCTGAGTACCCAGACTCATCAGGTACTGAAAGCCTTAGATAGGTAACCTGTCTGCTCTCTTTTTCTGTCCAGATGTGTTTCGTCTTCACCCTGTGTGCTGTGTTCTGGGTAAGTTACCTTAAATGAGTTGGCTTTTTACTGAGTAGTCCTCAGCCAGGGGCCGTGTGGTTTCTGGAGGTCAGATGACCTCACATTGTTGCCCAGAAGTCCCCTGATTGGACTCCCGATGTTCCCCCATCTCCAGCATTGGATATGGTGACGTCAGTTAGCGGCTGGACATGCAGTCTGCTCTACTGTCCAGAGCCAAGGAGAGGTCAGTTGGCAAAGCCAGGCTCAGACTTGCTGTCTGCGTGAGCAGACTGTCCTCCTCAGGGAGCTCTTGCTTGGGGTCTGCCTCCCCCCACGGCTGGGTCCCCCTCGTGTGGCTGTGATGGGATTCTGTAGGGCAAGTTCATTGAGGAGAAGCAAGTGTTAAAAAAGAAACCAGAAAACAAAACATGAGCAAACAGGGACAGATAAGGCCCAACTAAACCGATTGCCGATGTGTCACAGCCCTGTGGCACAGACTAGATCCCAGAGGATTGACAGCACAGACGTCTCTACAGGAGAAACTACAGACTAGAGCAGCGGAGGATTGACAGCGTGGACGTCTCTACAGGAGCTGACTGCCACCCTTTCCCGCCTGCAGCTGGTGCTCGGCCTCAGACCACTGACCTTTCTCTCAGCTGCAGCTGAGCATTGTTGGTGCTGGGCTCGTGAGAGCCCCTGTCCTCCTGGGAGCCCCTGTCCTCACGGGAGCCCCTGTCCTCACATCATGGCTCCTCAGCTCCCTGTCCTTCCTGGCACCCTGCCTCTGCCTTAGCTTGATTGATTGCACCTCGCCGGCTTCCTGGAAGGATTTCACTTCATTCTTGAGCAACCAAGAATGACTAGTTTAAAGAGGAGAAGGTAGCGTGGGATCTGTCTTAGTGATATTCTGTCAAAAAGATCTCCGGCTTTATTTTCAGTTTAGATAAAGGAAGGCCTGAACTTGAGTTACAGAAGGCGTCCCTCACACCACGTTTCTCAGTGCCCGCCTCCGTTCCCCTCTTAAACTTTAACATATGCTCGCCTGTGAACATTGTGGGAGTCCTCATGGCTCAGGGCTGACGCCGTCCCTGCCAAGTGGAAGGTCAGCATTCAGAACCCCCTAGCTGCTCCAGGAGTAGGTGAGGCAGCCAAGTCCATGGAGAGTGCAGCCTTGGAAGCCCTGTGGGCAGGGCCACTGGCCTGCAGAGTCCTTGTGGGCACATCAGCTCAGTAGATGAAATAGAAGTAAATGAATAAAAAATTAAAATCAGGAAGGACAAGGAATTCTCAGTGCTAAACACATAAGAACAGACTATATTATTCCAAAAGATCATGATAAAATTCTGTTTTTCTCCCAAAGTAACTAGAAGAAGGAATATGTTGAAATGATTGAAGTGCCGAGCCCCCTCGGGGTCACAGTTCTCGTGGGGCTCCGGCTGTCACAGAAAAGTTGACATGCGCTTTAAAGACTGTTAGTGTTGATGTTGGGGGTCTGTTTGATTATTTCAGCAACATTTAAAAATATTTCTCAGTATTTGCGTGAACAGACACAAAGCCTTTTAGAAGGAAATGTGCTCCGTTTAGATTTAAGCTTCAGAGCAACTGCTTTATAATTATATTACAAACATTGAAATAAATGAATGTCTCATGTTCATTGTTGAAGGTCAGGAATTGAACTTGACTGTGCTCCTCTGTTCTGTTGTTAGTGGCATAAGAAGGGGCTGGCCATGCTGTTCTGCATCCTGCAGTTCCTGTCTATGACCTGGTAAGTCGCCTGGTGCTCAGTGCTGTGCAGTTAGCCCTGTGCCCGCACACCCAGTCCCTGCCCTGGCCTGCTCCTCTCAGTCTCCACCACGCTGAAGTCCACTACTGCAGTCACTGGGTCAGTTCATCCTTGAGGGTTGTCCTCTCTTTCCATGATCCCCCATCGTTCCCAGCATGATGTCATTTTCCAAAGACTAGTCCCTCCTGTCAGCATGCTCAAAGCAGGTGAGATAAAATCTTTCTGTCCTTGCCTTGAAGGAGCACCTTAGTTTCATTTCTTCAGAGACAGATTTGTCCTTTAGATAGTCGGGATTTTCAGTGCTCTTGTACTCAGAAGCATCTGTTCTGTCATCCTCCTTCACTGGCCAGTTGCATAGGAAACAGTTGAAAATACCAAGGCTTGAGGCAGGCACACCTTAGTCCTTAAAGTGATACCTTTGCTCCTTAGCACTTTGGAGAGGTTCATGACAGTGGATTTTCCCAGCGCAGCACATCTTTTGATTTCTTGACTGCTGCAAAGTCTTCTCGCACAGCCAGAAGTGAAGACCAGTAGTGCGCGAAGAGCAGTTGGGCCTGAATAGAAAGCCCCAGGGCAGCTCTGATCCTTGATCTGAGAGGGAGATGCCTGGGGAGGGCAGGGGAGTGGAGGTCTGAAGCCTTCTGCAGTGAGCCGTAAAAGCGCACGCCCTGTGAAGTAAAGCAGGGAGGCCTCCATGTTCACAGAGCAAAGAGGGTCACCTGACAGAGCGAGAGGCGCAGGAAGTGATGCCCAGAACCACAGTCGCTGACTGATGATCCCGGGGCGGCTGTGTAGGTGGCATGTGTGCTGACCAGTTTTCGTGGGGACCCGTTTATAAACTGCTCCCTCAAGCACCTCTGTTCTCGGGGTCCATGGGAAGGAAGCTTTCTGGACAGTGCTGTGCAGAAGGACCCACTAGTGTGTTTTGATCAGAGGAAGACCCCTTGTGTCCACACTTTGACATCTTCACCCACCCAGCCACAGAGAAAAGACGCCTCGTGGGTGGGTGTGGAGGTCGGCACACGCCTCTTGTGGGGGCATTGCAGGGGTGTGGGGTCCGCACACGCCTCGTGTGGGGGCATTGCAGGGGTGTGGGGGTCCGCAC